TGGATCTGGGAGTTCCACCATGGGGGCTGGATCTGGGAGTTCCACCACGGGGGTTGGATCTGGGAGTTCCACCACGGGGGCTGGATCTGGGAGTTCCACCACAATGGCTACAACCAAGGGTGAGTCCTGCATATCCAGTGTGTTGTGAAACGATGTTCAAGGGACAATGTCTCATACAAGGGCAGAAAAGCACCATGGCGTATCTCCCTGATACATCACTCCAATTTGTACATGACCACGCTTGCAAGAAACTATACAAATTCAATATATCTATTCAAGTGATTCTATGATTAGTCGAAATGTTGTTTTTTTCTAAAAGCTTTAACAAATATGTTTTAAACCGAGTGAGAGTAAACTTTGTTTTAAGTATTGCTTTGCTTTTGTCAGGCTCCAACTCCTACTTAAGGTTATCAGGCATTAAGTCTTCCACAAATCTAAAGAACACACACTGTTACCACACAAGTGATATAAAAAGGAAAAAAACTGTTTCTGCCTATGCTCTCAAACCTTTGACAGTCCAGTGAATGAAATCTGTTCACAGTAACTGAAGGTATAAGAAACTAGGGAGACAGGATTCCACATTTAGGGTGCAAGGTTTAGTGTTGCTGTTCCCTAAAGTGTCTTGTGTCTCATTTTTAGCAAATGGTGCTCGCATCCACCCAGACGCTGGCCTCACCTTCCTGGTCTTCCTCGCTCTCCTCATCGTTTCTCAGCAGATCATCATGTGATGAGACACACGTCTAATAACTGTAACTTCCAGTCCAGCATGATTGACTGCATTCGTGGCGACATTTTTTCAAAAGACTTACTGAAGGAGATTATTTTCGTATCTGCTGTTGCTCCCTGTAAAGAAAATAATGAATGTGCAATAACGCTAGAGATTTAAAATCTATGTCCTTGATTACCGAATTACTGAGATCATACATTTTCTTTAGAGGCTTTTTGCTTTTGGTTTGGTTAATATGTGAAAGGGTATATTTTTATGCTTATTGTTTAGCTCTAAATTGTTTTGGATAACACAATTTTTCTTAAGTTCTTCAAGCTGTAGAAATGAAGGGGCAGAACCTCAGTGGATTAATTGCAATATGGAAAACATCAGAGAAAAGTTTGAAAAGTGAACGCAGATTGAAGATGCTTGTCATCAAAGAACTGTAAACTGATGTGTCATAAAAGTAGAAAATAACAGCTGCTACTGGTTTACATCCATTACTTGAACAATGCAATTCATTACTTGTTACTTTTGCCACATTCAGTAAGAACATCATTCACTGTTACATTAAACTGTACACGACAATAAGGAAAAGTAGAACACATCCCGTTCCTCACAGGTTACGTTTAAACACTGTGAAACACAACAGGAAGTTTAGATTTACAGTGTCTGCTGTACTTGTGCGGACGCATCCATTTTGAGATTCCACTTTTATGACACAAACTACCTTGATTGCTCTACATGATTTATAATAAATTCTTAATCATCATCATTTATTGATCATGGGTTTTTTTTTAACTGAAAAGAGGAAACGGTTAATAAATGGTTCTAAATTTCTGTATTACATTAAGCTCTGAGGCAGCAGATAACTGAGCAGAAAGCGTGACTCAGCATTTAACAACATCACTTTCGGTGTAAGAAAAGGTTTGGAATATATCTATTTCAGTCAGTCTGATTTATTGATTCATTGATATAATATAGATTCAATAGATCTTTCCTTTTAGTTTTTCTATGAATCAGTTTATGTAAAATGTAAAAAAATGTTTTAAAAAAAGTTAATTTCTCAAAGGAAAGGCATTACCTTAGAAACTATAATGTATGACAAAGTTGAACGTACAGGTTTGATTTTCAGACACACTGCTTTTTAAAAAGATTTAGTTGTTTCCAGCTCCACAAACAGATCATTCTAGTGCTGCTTCAGAATCAGCTATAAGCGTTTATACACCCCCAGTACGCTCTTGCAGGTGGGGCAGGTGTGCTTGGCATCTTTCAGACGGTTCACACAGAACGGGATGAGGCAGCAACCTAAAACAAAGCTGGAGAAGACAGCAACTGTTATGATCATGTGACATTTTTTAGTTTTCAAAATCTGAAACTTTCTTACAACACCTTTGGTGAAATCAGGTTCAAAGTGTCTTTATATTTCTGACATACTGGCATTAAGAGCACTACGACACAAAAGAACACTCTGGAGTAGTTTTTTTTATTTATTTCCTTAAACAACTTAAAATGCTGATGGCTCTACCTGACCAGCACTTCTTAAGTTTTTTCTTCAGATTTAAATTTCAGCAAACTGTGGAAACCAGCAGAACTAACCAACTTAATAGGAATAATCCTATGACACTAATAAGGATAAGAATGACCATCCACCATTTTTAAAGTTACCCCTTATTAAAACATCTCAGGGATAAGGAGGTGTTTTAGTAGTCATTTCAAACTTCAAACTTTTAACATGAGAAGACGTTTTATGTGACGCTTTGCTGTTACAAAACTCTACCAACGCCCATCTTACCCACAGAAGAAGAGTCCTCCACAGAAAAGATAAGTGAGCAAACCGGAGGAGTAGTCCACCTTGGAGAGGACAGTCTGATGACACTTGGGACAGGCAATCTGAACCGGATTGTCTCCCAGAGGGCCGATTGTTGCTGGAGGGGAGGGGGGGAAAAAAAGGAAGGAGAACGGTAGGTTTAGGATAAAGTCATACGCAGTTTGGGCTGAGTTGCTACTCAGTAGAATGCACTTTGAATGACTGTAGAGTCTCACCGACGGGCACTTGTGCACTGGACATTATTCCTGAAGACAGAAACAAAGATGATGGTAAATACAGGCCACAGAACATGCGGATAATTTGCAAAAATGCTTTTTTTTTTTTTTTAAGTTCAAAACACACTACAGTTTAACCAGTCATTTGAACTGCAGTCTGAAGTACAACAGTATGTTCCAGTTGTTGTAGTCATTACACTGTTAGAGATTAATTTAAGATAGAGTGGAAAAAAATTGAGAGAAGCAACATTTGTGTGCTTCTCTGTGCGTTACAAAACATGTCTTTGTCAGTCTTGGAGATACGCGACATCCCTTGGAAACTCCTTTGTCTTGCATCTGACAAGTGTGCGCTTAATGAAAACTACTGTGAGAAAAATAAGCACCAAAATCCAGACGACACAGAAATAATCATTTTAACAGGTCCATCTGGGGGCATTTAGATTAGTACTTACGGATTGGGTTGGCGAGCCAGTAGCTTCAGAGCAGACAGTTTCCCCACAGCTCAGGGTTTTCTGCAGGGCCACACCTTCTCTGCCAGCCTTAAATGATTCTTCGGGAGTCATGAGATTGTCTTTATAGACCTAAGTGACCAAACCCAGACTTCCTGAGTATTTATTTAAAATCTGCGCTCAGTGCCCACACCACTGACCCCTATGAAGTATATTGTCTGTTTTTGGTTTTGCCATTCATTTGGTGGCTAATTTAGATTAAATTCCTGCACGTCACTGTTGCCTTTTTAATTTTTTTGTTTGTTTGTTTGTGACAGTTAGGAAGTGGCATTTTGCAGCTGGTGTTTGTGCGATGTGGGAACAGCCGTCACACAGGACAAGACAGAAAAGCCCTCTGTCTCTCAGCCTGACAGAGTGAGGACAGATAACACTCCATTCAAGGTGGAATTAGCTGCACATGGTCATGCTGCTCCGAATTATCTGAGGCATTCAACCCTTCTGAACACAGCAGAGCCATATTCATGCTCAGATAGAGCCCATCCATTCTGCAAACCATCATCAAACGGTGGTTAAGACAGCACAGTAAATCTTAAACTCTTATAGAACAAGTTTGTCTTGGAGATGTGGATATCGATCAGATCTTTAATAAAAACTAATTTGATTCAAATTTGGTGAATAAGAATGTTGTAAAGAGATAAAATGACAAATTCTCAACTGTAACTAAGTCTCTTGTTCACATGGGATGGCCTCTACATGTCTGCAATCAAACACAACCGTGCATTTGGCTGGAAGTTTTTTTAATCAGTACAAATCGGTGCAGTATTTCACATGTAAACAATTGCAGCATGTCATTCTTTATACCTGAAAAGTTACATAAAAATTGTTTAGCAACTCAAGGCTTTCTGTAAAAATAGATCAATGTAGCAAACCCTTTAGTAAATCCCCCTTTAAAAAAAAAAAAAAAAAAAAAGATTATTTCAAGCGCTCTGAGGCTGGTTACAGTTTGTGAGCAGGTGTCACTTCTCAGTCTCATCGGCAGCCCTCGCTCACTGGTTTCAATAATCAGCATTCCTTCACATCAATCTGAAAGCTATTGGTGAAACAACAAGCAGCATTTTACTGGGGTTTTATCAAAAAGCCCAGTCTGTGGTATCTATCTGTAAAAGGGAAAAAAAAAAGAAAAATGAAAAGGTTGGTCACAGCCTCACAAGGTTCTGCAGAATGGGGGGCTCTCATTTGTGGATCATCACACAGTGAGAAAGCCAAAAAAAAGAACAGGTTTAAACAAAAAACGACGGCTAAAAAAATAGTTAGCGTTTAGAAAGTGTTTTTTGTTTTTTAAATCTGCAAATGATGAAATCATTTTCAGAGGCCGTGATCGTCTGCATACTTGTGACTCCTGGGCTGTGAGGGGAGATCATGGTAAAACAAAAAAAAACAAAAAAACAGCAGGTTGTTTCTGATTTCTCCTCTTCCACAGTTCCAAAAAAATTTTTTGTTCTAAAGTGTTCACCGATATATTAATTGCCATCTGAACACCAACGTTTGCCTCCTATAACAGTTTGAAATCACAGTGAGAAGACAAAGGAACACCAATAATCCCACTTCCTTCTTCTCAGTGAATGCCTCCTAGACTAAAAATGACCGAGTGAGCATCACATGACTGTTTTTTTTTTCTTAAAGCAATGAAATTATCTTAACTTCAATTTCCTATCTGCTATGTGCCAGTTCCAGCTGTCGGTGCTCATTTTCTCCAGCTTTTATTAGCTGGGTGCTTTGATTTTTTGTATTTTTTAAGTTTGAAAAAAAGGGGGAAAAAAGGAGAGGTTGGTTGTTTATTTGGCTGTCAGCCATCTGAAAGTTTCTTCAGATGGTTTTTTCAACCTCAGACAGACAGAAACAGCCACCAGAGCAGAGAAGTTTGACGTGTACAGTTTTGTACACGTTTCCATGAGCGGGTAAACTCAAAGCACTTTTTTAGTGTTGCATCATTTGATGAGCCACTTTCCGTTTTGAGTGTTTCCTATACAAAAATCCTGACTTATTCATAAAAATATGACTAACTTTGGTCAACACACCCCCCTTTATCTCTCAGAAGATGAATTGTCCTGTTGTCCTTTTCACATGACCTGCATTCCGTTTAATTTCCCTCCTGTCCCACAATTTTTCTTTTTGTTGTTTCTTCCGTTTTCTCCCGCTTCCTTCATTTCGCGGCGCAGGTTTCCTTCTGCTCTTGCATCCATCGGGGCCGTTCCCAGGCTGGACCGCAGTGCTCAGGAGGCCAGGTGGCTGCGTTTCTGCTCGGGAGTTTTCCTCCTCTCGGCCTGGGCCTGCTCCGGGCTCTCGGTCCGGTCTTTCAGCGCCCTCAGCAGGACCCGCAGCAGCGCGTTCTCCTGCAGCAGCGTCTCCGACGTGTCGGCCAGCTCCTGCAGCCGCCCCACCGCCTCGCCCAGCTGCCGGCCCTTCTCCCGCAGCTGCTCCTCCAGGCTCTGCTCCACGCCGCGCAGGTCGAACCGCAGCTGCCGGTTGTCGCGCCACAGCTGCGCCAGCTGCTGGGAGAGGCGCTCGCGGGCGTGGTGCAGCGTCTGCACCTCCTGCTGGAGGGCCAGGAACTCGGCGCGCAGGATGGCGCCGGGCCCCGCCCCCGCCCCCGCCCCCTCCGCTTTAGCAGACGCTCTGTCTGCGAAACGCAGAGAGCCAGAGTGCTGCAGCAGGAAGTGAAGCAGGTTAGGCAACGTGATGGGACGCTCATCGGGATACTTCACACTAAGATGTTTTCTTAAAGGGGATACAAACAGGGAGAGCTGAGAGTCATTTATAATGTTCAAGCGACCAAATGATTCAGTTCAATATTCTTATTTAAACAAGTGCAAAATAAATCTCAATTTAATCTAGTCTAAATGTAATGCAATGTGATGGAATCGTAAAACAACAATAACTGAGCTGTGCAAATGAACAATGGACAAATTCAGACAAAAAAAAAAAAGTATAAAAAGTGTCCTATCATGATATATATTCATTAAAGAAACCAGTTGGATTGCAAAAGAAACTTCCGTCAAGAAAAACAAACAAACTATAGTTCTCAAATAAATACATTTAAAAAAAAAATCACAATACTGATAGAATGAAAAGAATAAATAAATTCTTGAATACAACCATTAGCAGCAGGCTAAAGTAAAAAGACCCGGTTGGGTGCATTTCGCGCCTCTCTTTATCGTCACCTGTATCTGGGAAACAGGAGAACTGAGGGGACGTGGTCCACCATGAACTCCCAGGGGAGGTCGTTGCGCGCGACGTTCACCCTGAGCACAACAAGACAGAAAAGCGTCAGGGCGGGCGGGTTCGGCCCGATCCCCCCCCGGAGGCCGCGGCTCTACCTGGCCACCACCACCGCGCCGTTTCCCTGCAGCAGCCGGGCCAGCTGGATGATGACGTGGTTGAGGACGGAGCAGAACCCGCACCACTGGGTGTAGTAAAAGAGCAGCACGTCCTGAAAACACACACACACACACACACACACACACACACACACGTAATAGGTTTGAGGGGCAATAATCAGAAAGACTGCAAGAGGTCTAGAACTTCAAAATAAGCTGATTTAGCGCTAAATCAAACGTTTTTTTCTTTTTAAAAACCTTTTCAAGATCCATAACGGTGGGCAGGAAGGAGAGGGTGGTTAGCTCTGTGATGAGCGGGCGTGGGGGAGGGTGCCGCTGGTCCTCTGGACGCTCGCCGTCCTCCCCCCCTGCCGTCCTTCCCTTCTCCCCGACCAAGTGTCTCTGCAGGAGGCTGTGCGGGGCGCTGAAGTTCCGGATGAAGGCCTCTGTGCGGTGACATGCAAACACACGCAGAGAGGTGAGCGGACGCCGCGGAAACCAGGCGCCGTTTGAGCCCAAAAAAATGTTTGGGAAGAGACCGCTTGGGTGAGAGCAAATCCAGCTGAGATGTGGGGCGTTGAGTGGCTCAGAGAATCCGCCTCAAGCTGGGGAAAAGGTAAAGCGGTTGCTCGGCAACAGGCCGCTATGGCTCGCACCCAAGTAGAGTGAGGAGCCGGGTGAGTGTGGGATTTTCACACGGGGGGTCAGCAGCCAACGCGTTTTCAAGTCTTAGTTCGATTGGTGGCAAACTCCCCGCAGCTGGATTTGCTCTGCTCACCTAGGGCGACCGGGAGAGAAACTACGTGGTCGCGGCCTTTCCCCGTCTTACCCAGAGACTCGGTCAGAGTGGCCGCCGGGCTGCGCTGCAGGACGTAGTGGACCTCGTCCTTCAGGTTGACGATGGCGGCGAAGGAGCCGTCGGCGGTCGCCGGCGCCTCCCGCTGCAGGGCGCCGCTCCCGTTGCCCGGCGCCCCGAGCCGGACCGCCAGGGGCCAGTTGAGGGCCAGGTCCAGCAGGTAGAACCTGAGGGTCCGGTTGGTCTGGCACCTCAGCCCCGTGATGCCGTCTCCCTCCGGTTGGGAGGCGGGGGGCGGGGGGGAGGCGGGGGAGGCCGGGGGCGGGAGGCGGGCTCCCCGCACGCCCGGCTCCTCTTTGGCTCGCGCTTGGTGGAGCTGAGGTTGGAGTTTTTTGCAGCAGGCACTGAACTGACCGAAGGGGCTGTAGCTGGTCAGGAGATTGCGACAGCCCGATGAGGTCTGGCTCTGAGTGGACGCGGGAGAGGGCAGCTGGTGGAGGCAGCAGTGTCCGAGACGGGCGCGAAAGCCGTCTCGTCCGAGGCTCGAGGAGGGGAACGAGCAGGGGGAGGATGAGGAGGAGGAAGAGGGCCGGGACAGGTTGAGGCACACCTCACACACACTGGTGCTGGACTCCGGGAGAACCAGCGACTGGCAGCACAGCGATTCAGACTTCGAAACCTCGTCCCAGCTGGAGTAGTCACAGGAGTGATAGCGCACAGCGATGTCTGCCACCTAAAGCAACAAACGCACAAAGCCACAGGCAAAAAATTATGTGGCAATCTTGGTGTGCAGAAACATTTAAGTATCAGAAATCTCTTTGGCTATAAGAATTCAAGCTTCTGTCACGCGTGTGCCGGTTTTCCTGCCTCCTCATCACGGACCCACACGCTACCGTCTCCACACCCAAAATTAGTTTCCGATAAAAAGGTCTATAAAAAAAGTTATTCCAAGTCTTGCCATTTGAAACACACTGCCGCCTGAAAATCAATGAGCCGGTTATTAGAAATGGAATGAAATCTTACACATCTGGTTCAAACGCTACGAATCATCTCTGCTCCACATGTTTGGGACTGGTCAAACCACTCTTCAAATATATTTAATCTCAAGCGTTTTACAAGTTTTTCTTTTTTAAAAAGGTCTATTTGTAAAAAACATATTAACTTTTTGCAATGGAAAAAGGCATAGATTCAATGTGAAGAAGGACAGCAAGAGAATAGCTGACTGAAGAAGAAAAAGGGAGGACTTGAGAGTTCTAATGAATCCTAACAGAAAAGTATGTCTCGCTACCTCAGACAGTCTGACCTGAGACAGAGACGGTACAAAAACACAATTAAATTCAAGCGAATGCATCTCCTCTGTGAAGCCGGCTGACCGAAGAGCTACATTTCCCTAAAAACCCTGAATAGTGATGGACAGTGAGACGAGGCCTCCGGAGCTGGGACGGCTGCTCCCGGCTGGACGCACAGACTGACCTGCTGCAGTGTGGGGCTGGGCTCGGCCCTCAGAGGGTTGTGCGGCAGGAACAGCAGCAGCGCGGGGCCTTTGGTCAGCTCCTGCTCCAGCAGCCGGGACTTGGTCCCCGGCGGCTGCAGCCACTGGAGGACGGTCTCGTGGTGCTCGAACACCCAGTTACAGATGGCCTCCGACGTGAAGTTGCGCTCGTTTCTTGGGAAAACCTGAACAGATATGGGAAAAAATTCAATAAAAAAGGGAGTTTCAACCGTTGCTCCTCTTTGTTTACGTCTTATTTATGTGGGCTGAAGCGTTGCCTACCAGAGAGGAGTTAAATCTCCTGTGCAGGTAGACGCTTTCGTCCTCTCTCAGCGTGATGGGCTCGGCCACGTGCTTGCTGGTGACGACTCCGAAACGGACGTCGCCACGGAAATCTGCGGCAGAAACGGGGGAGAGTCTGAGGTAAAGAGGCGAATGTCCTCTCTTACCACAGTCCTGAAACTGTGGGCCTGCTCCTTACCCCTTTTCAGCGCCTGCAGGGCAGAGGACAGGTAGGTGATGTACCCCGGGGGCTGTGGAGAGGCGTTAAACCGGAAGAATCCCACCACACGGGGCTGGAAACACACAACGAGGTATGCGATTAAAAGGCAAGGCGACTCAAACAAAACAAAGAAATGATTGGCTTTTTGGGTGTTTTTTGTTTTGTTCTTTAATTTAAAGAGCTGTAAAGCTTAAAACTCAGAAACTCTCCCAACAAAAAACAGCCAATAAACACTGAATTAAAACATATGAGGAGAAAGAAAGATAAGAAATACCTCATGATAGGTGAGGAATGCTTCGAGATGTGCTCTGGATGGCAAGTATGTAAGTGGTGTGATGACTCTAAGGACAAAACTTTCCAAATACGGAGCTACAAATGGACCTTTATATTCTATTGGCCCGAACCTAAAGGAGCATAAGAGCAAAAAAAAAAAAGGATCAGCTGCAAAACTCCTTCAGTCACCAAGTTACGTTCAGGAAGTTACCGACCGAAGCCGTGTCAAACACACACTCTGAAGAGAATGAGCTGCAAAAGCGTCCCTTACCTCCTGTAAAAGAGATGGATGATGGGGTACTGGTAGAGGCGGCTTTGCTTCCTGCATTTCCCCTGACTCCACCAGCAGTTAACAGCCACAAACTGCACCTGTGTTACATGGCCCCAAAATGAGTGCTCACAACGTGTTTGTCGTCTCTCAAAGGGTTCACGTGTTCTTATAATTCTGACAGATTTCTGTAAGCGCTTGTAGATCTTACTACAAACTAAAGCCACACCTTCCACATTTCAAACCAAAGGTCTACGCTATTTTGACAGATCTCAGGACTTTCATTTGCACCGTTTCAGTGGCTATCCTAGTTTGGATTGAGGTTTCTTTTTCACGTTCAAACAGTCCTGCTGGGTGGGGGGTGTTTACCTGTTTGGCCAACTTTTTAGCCACCTGTTGCACTTCCTGTCGAGCAGCCATAGAGTGAGCGCACCACGGGGCATAAAAGAAAATCAGGGACACCTCCGCCATGCTCCTCAGGCGCTCCACCTGGAGACAGAAAAGCCGTCCATTACTCTGTACGCAATACCGAGACCTGCCTCCTATTGGGGACAGGCACCGAGTGAACGCCAGTAGGAATCCGGGTCGTCGATGGGCGTTTTACGTCACGTCTCTGTGCTCTTGACTCTCACCTGGTCGAGCTGACCCAAGTAGAGGTCCACCACTGGGGCCTCGGCAGAGAAGAACCGCACGGGAGGCTGCGCTGCAGCCACCACATTCTTGGCACGGCTTCAGACCCAAAAAAGAGAGATATTGTGATGTAAAGTGGGCATTCTTCTAAGGCTACTACATCCACAGGCATAATTATCATGACTGATAGAGCCAGTTGTAGCGTCACAGAAAAAAAACATGTTATATTTGAGGAGAGGAGTTTCTTGGAATCTGCAGAACCCCTTTGCGATTGCTCATATCGTTTGATTTCTCCGTCACCATGTGAAATGATAAACAGCCGACTTCTGCAGGGTTGAGCAGAGATGGCCGCAAGCTCTTACAGCAGCAGCGAAAGTGCAACAACCAGAAAACACGAGGAGAAATAGGTTGCGTCTTAGGTCATTTGTCTGCAGTTTGCATCAAGTCTCAGCCTTTCCCACCTGTGAAATCTTCTGCTTAATGCAGAAAGACAGTTTAACAGAAGCAGGATGTGCCCCAGTGCTCTTGTTTGCTTTATGTTCCTGTCTATCCAGCTGCTGATAGCTCAGTGACACGATGACAACAGAGCTTTATCAGCTTAGTGCCATTTTCTTCTTTCTCTCTTTTAATAGTTTTGGGGAAAAGAAACAATGAAACTTGAATAAAATTGTTAAGATGATGTAATCCAAACAATAATTCAGATAATATTACGTGTAGAAATTTACAAACAGCAGCAGCAGATTTGTTTAACATGCAAGCAAACTAAATCAACAAATCTTTCCATGTAAAAGTTGGAAATGAATTACCTGTCAAACAAGCAGTCAAATAATCGATGAACTGCTTCAGCCCTGCTTTATACTGCCTATTACTAAGCTGATAATGGCTAATAATAATAACAATAACAACAGTAATAATAATGGAGAAAAAGAACCCAGTCTGTTTAAAGGGATTAAAGCATCTGTTAATCCTCTTGTACCACAGCACAGTTTAAGATTAGCAACATGACACAAAAAGACGTTAGGTGACAGGAAACTCAAGATGTTGAACAGCTTCTTCACAACCTACTAGCGAGAGCTCAGGAGCGCTGATCATTACTGGCGCTGGGTGGAATTTGAAAAACAAGGAGAGAGAAAGATCCTGCACACCTGCATGTGAACTTCACCGCCAGTACGAGCAGGACGCTGAGCACGATAGCCCCGCAGAGTAGATCCGGTCTCCGGGCCATCAGAAACAGCACCTGCCGGAGAGACTGCCGCACCCGGCGCAGCATTACAGCCCGTCGTCGCCCCTCCGCCGCATTTATACGCCCCGGATGCCGCTAAATGCATCCATTAGCCAAACGGAGGAGGAGGAGGGAGACCGGTTTGTCTGGGGACAGAGCTGACCTGGATTGGACATCGGTGCAGTTAGTGTTCAAGGTGTTCAAACGCGTTCAGACCAACCTTTCTTCCCCACGTAGACTTTTCACTTCCGCAACAACGACTCCGGGGAGAGACCGCAAAGTGCAACGAGCGCTTAAAAACGCGCAATACTCTTAACACGCGAGCAGTGAGAACGTTTTTCTCACGTCTTTTCGTTGTTAAAGGGAATGTAATGAACATTTCTAAAAGGTTCCTGACATTACAAAAATATTTAGACTTTCTTTTACTTCCTTTTGCGTATATATTCGTTTGTGCCCCTTGACCACGGTCCCTAGATCATCATGGCGACGGCCTTTGCTGCAATAGCGATCTTCACCCACTAGAGGGCGGTCGTTTCTAAATCAACCTCCAAAACTTTATTGAACTAAAGTCTGAAACAGAGTAAACTCAAACATAAATGAATGAGTGTATTCATTGATGAGGAACATGATTTGTGTATATGATGTGCAGCCTAATAAGCATAACTTCTGGCTACTTACTGGTGTACACCAATGTCCATGGGAAAAACGGCCTGTTTTTGTGATATTTCTAAAAGGTTTTGTTAGATTTAATTTCTTTAATACAAATGCTTACATTGACAAGGAAATAGGGTGTGATTGTATGGTTCTTGAAAATAGCCAGTATACATTTATATCTTTAAAATAGCAATGCTTTTCCAAAGTCTGCACCGCCCCCCATATTTAAGAGTAATGTTTCACGTTGTACCTATTTGTTTAGAGTATATTGTAATCAAATAATTTGATTTTCAGGCTGTTCATGTCCTGTTTAAAATTAATTTAGGTTTAAGGAATGCTTGTGTCAGATGTCCTCCATCTGACATCATCCCATTGATCTTATTCGTTATGATCATATTGTCACTTATTTCTGCACATTCCAGTTCCAATAACAAGGTTACATCCTCTAAATTAAAAAGAAGCAGCTTTATTTATTCATTTTTTTTCATTGAAGAACACAGAAGAACATCACAGTGTACATTTTTTTTAAGTGCAAATGAACAATGCTTAAAAAAAAACTTTAAAAAAAACTTGATTACCTAATGGAAAGCGTACTGCAACAAATTGTTTCTGTAGAGTAAAAAATGTGCAACACAGTATTTGGAAGCAGTACAAATAAGTAAAAAAAAATCAGATTATCTGCTCAAGGCTCATAACAAATAATAGGAACTTAATTTTTCCTTTCTCTTTTTTTCCTGATCAGTGTTGTCTATCTTGGTGCAAACAGCTCCAGAACTAGCCAACAGGCACTAAAGCCTGAGCTTTACAAACAGCTGCTCAACTGCAAACCACAAAGTTACGATGTTTCAACTTCAAGAGTTTGTTGAAGTGGCTAGGATTTCTATACCGTACTGGTCATTTCTCAATCAGCTGCTCATTCAATTAATTTTGGATCATACAAAAAACAGAAGGAAAAAAAAGAAAAAGAAATCAATTTGATGTTAACCTCCTCGTTTCATATCCAGAAGCTGAATACTCTCCTACTAAAGCAAAGCCATGTCAGAGCTACTGAGCTATTGGCAGTAGCTAATGAGGCCAGTCTTTCTGGCTGCTCTGGCTGCGTTTATTCTGACTTGTTTGCATAATCCTGGATCACTTAGGCATTGTGGCTTGTAGATATACGATGGAAACCAAGGGATCACTACGAAATGGTATTTCTGGGTGACTCGTCTCCTTGGTATCATTTCTCCCACAACAGCTGGGTGCCTCTCTTTTTCAACAAAGAGCAAAGAGAGAAGTCAGAAAGCAAGAAAACGTCCTTGCCGTCAGCAAACAAAGTCGGTCTTGTGTACGTTTATTGCCGAAAAAAATCAACACTTCAGAATGTACAGTTTGCTGGGAAGTGTGTGGGCATACATGAGGCGCTGACTCCATGCGGCTGGTCACGGCGCCTGCGTTTCCGGGTGCATCAGCTGCTGCACCACCAGGTCTATGTTGATGATGGGGCTGAAGTACAGAGCCCAGTAGAAGAGGCAGTTGCACACAAACTGTGGGACGAAAGGCCACAGGAGGGCGAAGGCGAATCCCTGAGAGAGCATCTTCCAAAAGTGGTTCCACATCTTTTGTGGCAAAGTCCTACGGAAAAATTAAACTAAATTTAGACGTGGCGCGTTCGTCTTAAGACCCGTCTGACCAATGTTATGCGCATTTGTTTTCACGCAGCAAAGAGAAGCAGCCGGCTCGGCCTACCTGATCCTGGCCGTCGTCCAGAGCCTCCATAGCGCACAGCCCTCCAGCACGGAGAGCAGCATGGCGTTGACTATGATGAAGCGGGACGTCCAGTAGTGGACGGCCAACCAGTCCCAAGCAAATTCTGCGATCAGCTGGTAAGGAAGCACGCAGTATTTCACAAGGAACTCCGCCCACTGCCGCCAGCTGGGCTCCAGCTAGCAAAGGTACCACAGACGAGTGAAACAATTAGAACAGAAATGACTGAGGAACACAAAGCTAAGAACGATCGCACAGGACAGTATAACATATGTCAGCAGGACTGTGGAAGGTGGCATGTATGATATAAATAATGATAAATGTGAGTACTCATCCCATACCACTTCTGTTTATTTTATATAAAAAAAACCCGAGTGTTCTTTTAGAGCCACTTTACCACCCTTGACTTTTTTCTTTGCTAATTCTTTGCAGCAGTCACATGAGTGTGTAAAATGTTCAAGGCTTCACCTGTGAGTTGAGGAATCTGCTCTCCGACTTGGCCACGTGGGAGACGACCGGACAGCAGGTGTGCAGGAAGGGAAGAAAGGTCTCCGAGTAGTCAAATAAATACAAATAAAAGATTGTGAGGCGAGGGGAGCGCTTCAGAGCGTACAGCAAGAACAGAGCCTTTCCTGCATTTGCAGCCTGGAAAAGAGTCACAGAGAGAGAAAGAAGACCATGAAAGACCTGCAGCACCTTCTGAAACCAGGAGCTGTGGAGTCTGCTTTTTAGTTCATTTCAAGCATTCAAGAAGAACTCAACACCAGCATATGAAGCAGCTTTCACTGGAACAAGTTCTAGAGACTCGGGCCTTACTTTGTATTCCCAGAGATTCTGTGGAGGCTTGACCCCCAGAGTCTTAACTCTGTCCAGTTCGGCCAAAACGGCTCGTCTGTGAGCCTGATTCTCTATGCTGTAAGGCGAGTTCAACAGCTCCTCATCCCCCAGCATCAACAGCAGCCTGAAGCACAGAGGGGAAACAAAAAAACAAACATTTTTTTTAATGAGTATTTGAAAGTGGATCAAGGTTGCTCAGTGTGTGAGCCAATCTTGTTTTGTTTTTTTCAATCGTTTCATGTTTCTCCAGATAGCCAACTTCAGAGAAAGAGAAAAGCATCAATAAGATTTTATATACATATATTAATCTGTTTTGGCCAAAGGAGTTTGATTTCTATTTCAGAGATTACTTTAGGATATTAATACCTTTCTATTCTTAGAGTGTTCTTTAACTCTTCCTTCTCCAATCCAAAAATAAATGCTAGCATCTTTGGTGTTGGTAAGGAAACATATCTTGATCATGATATCTTTAACTAATTTATTTATCATATTTTGGGACATGACTGGCCTGACACTTATGGAGAACTTACAACTTATTGACCTAAAATGTTGTCATCTATTACGATACTTAGATTGTGACTGATTGTCTGTACATTGATTGCTTTTGTTTTTTCCTCTGCTATGGCTTCTGCTATCTCAATTTCTTTATAAAAACACAAGAGAAGATGTGAAACGTTTCTACCTTCCGTTAACATTCTCCTTGTGGAAGGGTTCTCTGTAGAGCTCGGTCCATGGACCCAGGTGTTCCAGCCAGGACACGACCTCCTCTGGAGTCCAGTGAGACACGGGTTTACTGATCAACAGCTCGTGTTGTTCCATCACGCCGCTGCCCCAGTGATACACCAGCACCATCACCTGGACACACCCAGACATTACATCACTCAATCAATAGAGCTGTGCCAAAGTGGCCGATCAGACACACAGTGTGTTCATCTGTAACTTTGGGTTAGCTTGAACTTGAACTGAAAACATGACTGTGGTGAATATAAAATGTTGACAGCAAATAACATTCACAGGGTTCCAGCAACTTAAGAGCTCCACTTGACTGAACTGAGGCTGAATGAATGACAGTAGAATTTCCTGCTAAGTTTGGCTGAATTCATTTTCTTCAGTTTTCTTTTAGACCTTTTCAGACACGGCAGACGCTGTTGGCTGACTTGGTTAATTTTCTGTTTTAGAGGTCAGATATAACTAAAAAAACAAGGCTCACAACTGATATCCACCTATTGATATTACAAATGAAAGATTTAGGTGATTTTGCGTCACAGTTAGAAACTTCTAGGCCAAAGTCGTGATTGTGTGTAAGTTTGTGCGTCGCCCTGTGAAGAACCCTGATTTCTTACAGCCTAATCTTTTGGTTAAGCTATGAAAAAAAAAACACACACACACAATTCCAGCAGCTGAGCGATTGGTGCATTCCTTAACAAACTCCTGTGCAAATAATGTGGGTCAAGAAAAACGGATCAGAGACATCCAAAGCAAACCGATGCACACAGCCCGGACACGAGAGTTCTCCTCAAATGACCCGTCTCAATAACACCCTCCGTGCAAGACCTGAAGTGGAAACCAATGCTACAATCTATTGACACATCACGAGCACTACACACTCACAGACACACAAACATAAATATACTGCCACGTGGCAAGGCACACAGTGACATCGCCCCAAAGTGCCACATGGACTAAATAAACATGCTCTGCTGACAGCATGAGACCTGACCCCCAGATTCCCCCCTCTGGAAGCCTTCTAATATTACAACCCACGACGATGCTGGAAACATAGCAATGGCAGGGATCTTCTATGCTTCTTCACCGATAGCAAAAACTTCACAATAACATATTCGCTGACGGTGTTGTGGTCAAACTGACACACAGGAGACACATCATTAAAACCTGACTGCTATATCTTTGCAGCCCTGCTGGTCTGTTACTAACCTGCTGCAGCCCACAAAACATCCCTTCTACAGTATTTTTAAAAAATGTATTAAATAAAACACAGATTCAGGCATGACTGAGATTTCAAAAAGTCCACATTAGTGTCTGCTTAGAAATCTCCCGCACAAAAAGAGAGCAGTAACCATTTAGTGCCATTTTCTGTACGTGGAAATCTATAAGCTCTCCTTTACAGCTGTTGTGTACATACAGCAACACACGTGAGCGCAGTCAAGACTCCAGAGAAGAAGAAGCCTGCTCCTTTATGCTGGTTTGTCTTGGATCTCCCCAAGTTGTCACCATATCTAAAATGAAGAAGAGGGATGACATGACAAAAGGGTAAAAGTCTTCAGCAAGTTATGGGAGATAAGGTCACTACTGTTAAGTTTAATCATAAGATATCTACTGGAATCACATTTCTACTTCTGCAACATCAGTTTTTTTCCATAATGCTTTTACTTCTCCACTGTAGTGCTGATAGGGTCAAAGGTATTATATCTCTTTTTCCTCTCCAGAGAACACACAGACAACCTTCCAGTTTAATTGAAAAATAGTGTTTACCATAGGCTAAAGTACCTTTGAAAGGCAAGCAAACTTCGGGAGATTTTGGGATTTGCCTGGATTTCTGCTCTCCTTCGCTGTACGACCTCACTGAATAGCTTGTCAGTTGCATCCCTAAAAAGAAAAGGATTATAGAATTAGTTACTGCAGGTGTTCTTCGGCTTTTTCTTTGACAAATACCTTTCAGTCATAGCTCCAACTACTAAGTCCCAAAATGGGCCAGATGTGACCCCACACTGAGGAGGACGTGTAGGTGTTTCCATACGGAATGTTTAGACATTATGCCGTTTCACATGCATCGTAACCCTGTGATGTTTACCTCACTTTTTATTCATAGTGAAGAAAGAAAAAGAAAAGTCACAGTCAGAATCTGGGTCTTTCTGAATACCAGAAAGGATAAACTCCTGTTTAATGTTTCTCCTACAACTGTACTGAAATGTAGGACGCTTAAAACTATGAAAACATTTCTTCCTCTCCGTTTTCAGATTGCAACATTTTGTGTTGTCAGCCCATGTGTGTCCACACAAATGGGTGATGTATTGCTTACTACCACATACTGCCAGTAAAATGGTTAATAACAGGTTAATCATACTGGAAGCAGGATTTCACAACTTTTTTATGTGGAGATTACAGGCTAAAATTGTATGGGTTTACGCAGGCTATCTCTGTTACTTTCACAAAGACATGCATATTCGGTTAAGCAACGAGTATAAGAACGCATGTTTCCATCTGTGTGTGTTGGAAGTGAATTACACTGGAAATACACTCAGACTATTGACCACCTTCTGATTACAAAAAAATATATATTTCAAAATTCAACCCCCAGTTCTGAAATTGACAGTTAACAATGAGATCGGATCCTAGTACTAGTTCGGCTGGCCCGTCTTTCTATTAGTACCTCATTTGTTAGGGAGAACCACCTAAATCGAGGCGTGCTGAAGAGAGTGCAGCTGTCTAGGCCGAAGTAGGACCTAAATGGACAACCCCCATAATTTATCAACGCTTTATCAAAGGTAAAGCTATATAGAGTGTTGAGGAGATTAAGGCATGCCTGCATAACTTCTAATAAGCATAAATAAAGACTAAAATTATGGACACAGGAAGCAGAATAACTGGTTTTCTTCTAATGCCAAGAAGATGTGATCTGAATGGGATCAAAACTTGGTCAAATAAAAAATGGGATACTTCAAAACCTCACAGTATTGAGATGAGATTCCATTTAAGTTGCATATAGGAAACCCTAATTTGTAAAGATGGTGATACTTTTCTTTAGTTTAAACAAAAAAATCCAAATGGAGGACAAGTCTGTGACAAGTCTGTGACCTTTAAGGAAATAAAAAAAGAGCTTCATGTTGGTCTTTTTGGCTATTAGTTGTGTATGTATATATATATATTCGTGGCATGTTTCATGTTAAAAAAGAAAGAAAAAAGTATATTTAAAATTTTTGCAGAAAAGATCTAACATTCAACTAGTGATGAGGCACAACAGTGAGAAAGAAGCATTACCTCAGCAGAATGTTGATTTTAGGAAAGCCTTCCCACTTCTCCCGACACTCTGGACATTCGTTCTTGTGGGAGGACTCCCACCACAGAGCCAGACAGTGGCGGCAGAAGTTGTGGCCACAGGTCAAGGTAGTGGGGTTGACTAAGATATCATAGCAACAGTGGCACGAGAATTCATTCTCCGAGATGCTGCTCGTTGTTGGCTTTGAATCGGGAGAATCAGATCCAAAAGAGTGCCCATCCTGCAATACACCCACACCATCATCTTCTGAATCCCACTCCATCTGGTGGAACATATGCAAAAAAGTGAGAAGTTGTATCTTTTCACATGTTTATTCTTTAAGTACCTAAGAAGGGTCCGGTGTATTTGCAATTATTTGACTGTATGTAGCTTTCCATACAATTCACATGTACCTATCATTGGAATGGCCCTGCTTTTGCAAATTGCCGTTCTGTTTGATTTGTTTTACTGACAAAAACGTCAGTAAAAACTAACTGACTGTTACTGACGATGGCAGCCAGAGCAAGAAACCAGGAGATCTGACAAGTCCGTTGGACTGAATGAAGTTAGTGACAACAAACAAAGCCAGCATAATATCTCCTCTTATGGGTCAAGGGTTTCAATAACAAGCACATCTGATCTGTTATTCCAAACAGTCGGCATAAATACAGTGTACACACAGTAAGGCTAACTAAAACTAAATTGTTAGCACTGTTAACCTGTTTAGCAACTGCTGTAAATAATAAAGTATCAACATTTATCAGGTAAAGTTTAGAGACGTATTGATTAAGTTAGCAAACAACAAACCACTAGCTTCTCAACAACCTACAGAAAAAAACAACCAATAACGTACGTTGTTTTAGACACGGAGATGTGGCGTATTTTAACAGCTTGTGACGTGAACTCATCGACACCCTGACCTCAACGTTAGCTCCTACTTACCAAGTGGCTAGCCAGCGATTAGCTACGGTAAAATAAGTTACCAGCTAATGTTGTTCTCGTGTAAAGCAGAAGGAACGCGACATTCTATCTGACGTAAAAGTGTACCGTTATTTGCTTGCTGGTTGCCACGTTTGCTAGTTTTCGAAAGGCAACTTTAGGCTAGCTACCAGAGAAATTGCCTTAGCTAAGTTAGTAACAAAATTGCTCAATGACGTCGTTCAGGAAACTAACCCTGGCGTGGTTTGCCTCAAGATTTCCCTCTGACAGGTGAGCCACTGTAGGATGACATGACTGCCCGGCTAAATGGCCCGAGAGCGCCTATCACTTGTTAAATTCAAATGAAAGCATCCAGACTGCTTGAATGGCTGTCGCCATAACTCCTGCTGCCGTGGAAACCCCCTCCTACTCCGAACGCCCACGTCAACATGGTCGTGTCATGCGGGTACCTGAAGAGGTGCAACGTCTTCCTCCGTGGCGTAAAATCCGAGTTACAACCGAGCTCCGACGTGGGGATTTTTAAAAGGTGCCTCAGTTCAAAGTTCAGATCCAGCCAGTGAAGCCTGGGGACGGAGGCTGCTCCTTATTTCCCTTCACGATAATTATGAAACTGTAACCTGTTCACTTACACGTAGGCTCACGTGCACTGAGGCAGCACTAGAAAAGTTTAAGGGACTATTTTCCCAAGAGTCCTTAAACGCCTCTGGAGCACTTAAAAGCTTATGAAGTGGCTCATTTGTACTGATTTCAGCTAAACTAAAGGATTATTAGAATTAAAGGAAAAGCATTTGTGTTTGTTATTGTATTTCAGTTGTGTTGTATAGCATTTTGTGGTACTTATTTTATTTCTTTAATGCTTGCCAGAGAAAGCCACAAGCTTCAGATTGTTTTTCCTCAGGAGAGGGAAAAGGTCATAATTTATTTCCTGTCTCTCTTTTTTAAGAGCACAATCAGACAGGAAGCAGTGCTTGTATATGCATCTTATCTCAAAACTAACTTACTCTGGAGATGATCTGGCAGATTTCAGCATGTATTACTGGGAAACAGGCAGATTATGAAGGGAACAACTGTGTTACTTTTAAATCAAAAGATGTAACCTTACATTATTCAGCTTATTCAGACATGCTGCTTTGTCATACAGGCCCCAGGTGTCACCATGTATGTTCTGACATCAGTGTTATTTACCTTTGTGAATAGCAACAATAACAACTGTGTAGTGAACACAGAAGTAGCAGAATTACTTTCTACATTTATATGACAATATCCATTCAATAACATCATTCAGTAATAACAATAAAAGAGACACAGCAAAACAGAGAGAGAAGAGAGAAAGCTGACAGGACTTAAGGACCTGTAAAGAAGAGCAAAAAAAACATTAGGTCTGATCTGACAAGGTTCTTCAGACAAGTCAGATCAGACAAAAACACAATAAAATCAAGTGTGTACTGGAAAGGGCGAAGTTACAAGGACCAATATGGAGGATGGTTAATTAGTAGTAACTTCTTTATCTATTATAGCAAGAATGACCACCTAACACACACACACACACACACACACACACACTCGGAGCTGCTGACATATGCCTGCAGGGTTGTTTGTACATGCTGCTGCAAGGTTGCTTCATCAAAGGCACACACACACAACGGACAGCACACTGGGGAAGACTGGAACCAGGAGGCAGTAAAGCAAACGATTTCAATTACCGGAAAAACCCCCGAAGAAGAAGAAGAAGAAGAGAGAGTGGGGGGCGGGGATGGCGGATTGGGGGGGCAGACCAGACCGAGTCGGAAAAGAAGAGAAAGAAGAAGAATAAAGGGGCGGGTTAAAAAAAAAAAGATGAAGAAGAATTGGTGGTGGCGCAAGACTGCTTAGCTAGCTCAGACTGTAGGGCCAGTCCATGACAGCTGCGCACATCTGGAGTGACACTGCGACCTGGCATTCAATTCCAGCTCCTCCCGGTTTCCTTATGCCATCCTTCCGAGCTGGCCCCCACCTCGCATTATGTTCGAGGTAACGTCGGAACCGTAGCTGCTGTCGGGCTGTCTGCCGTTTTTTTGGTCGCTGTTTGGAAAGACCCACAGTTAACTAGCCTGGTTAACCAGGTTTTTTTGGCCAGTTAACACAAACCCCTGAGGTCGTCGTCTGAATATGAACCCCAGGAACATGCTAATTAGCGAGTGTCGACTCCAGTTAAACCTGTCATCACTTCATATTCACGTAACTTAATCATTTACTCACGCCCCAGGCAAAGAGAGCAATAACTACGTTTTTTACCCTCCCGTTTTTAGGTGGCTTCTTGAGGGGAATGTGACAGGCACTGTGTGGTCATTTAAATGGAAACAAAAATGTTGTCGTTTGCTGGTAAAGGCAGGAAACTAGAGGCCGGAGCAAATGTATAACGGGATGCAAAACCAGGTGCATAAACACAGAGCTCCAGTTATACGTTATAAACTTGGTGTGCATCAGGAACTGGGAAGAGGATTAAAACAGAGTGCTTGGCAAGCATGTTTATGTTCTGCACTGGTAGAAATAGCAAGTGTATTAGCAGGTGCTAAGAAAACCACAGGCTTTACACTTTGGTTTTTAATTTTTACTCTGGAACCATCTTGGTATTCTTCTTAATCTGGCATATATATATAACATTTTTGAAAAACTAGTCATATAACAATATTCCTAAGTTGTTTTGCCATTGTAACCAAATCATTAACAGCGACTGGTTTTGTGTGAATTATGTTAGAAAGTCAGGCTTCAGTTTCTTCAGCTGCATCAAAACATTTGTTTGTCACGGCACAGACTTCTCAGATAACCTGTTCTTAAAACTCAGTACTTACTCAGCAATTAGAAGCCTTGCCTTTTAAAGTTTAGCAGAAGTTTTTACATGAGCTAATCCAGATATGTTGTGTTAGCAGATGATTGGGAGGAGAAGCTGCATTTTAAATGGGTGAACTCGGCCGTGTTGTTCCGTCTATCTCACGGTCCTGGTTTATTGGAACATTTATTACCATGTTTATCACCACACATACTCTTAATGTAACTGGCTTTCTGTTCGACTCAGCAATCTCATCTAAACTGAAGTAGTTATTTTAAATGTAAGTAAACAAAACAAACAGTGAAAGAGTGTCTTAATTGTACTGTCAGTTGATGTCCACTTTGTTTTATGATTTATAAAACTTGTTCTACTGAAGGTCATCATTCCTTTTGTTTCCAAACATATGTTGTGGCTCGCCCTGTGATGGACGGGCCAGGGTATTCCTGCCTCTTAGCTAGTTTCAGTCAGGATGGGCTGTGGCACCCCTACAGTTCTTTTGGGAAAAAGCAGCATAGACGGTGGATGGGAGGATGGATGTAGTGGTTTATGTCATTATTTTTCTCCTGTCTGTCACTTTTCAGGATCCCGAATTCAAAGATCAGTTATCACGGAGTCTGAATGAGAACAGCGGCGAACAGTCTTCACCGCGTCAGGAGCCCAGAAAATCCCCAGGAAGTCCCTGCTATAACTGTGAGACACCGGAGATCCAACTAGTCATCAAAGAAGAAGAGGAGGGCTGGATAGTGAATGAATATCGTGGGTGATGTATCTTTAATATCAGAAAGACTTTATTAGATTAGATTAGATTCTGGCGCTGTGTAGACGGCTGCCTCTCCAGTATCTTCTGGTAACCTTAATTTCCTGAGGGAGTCTTCCCAAGGGATCAATAAAGTTCAGTCTAAGTCTAAGTCTAAGTCTCAATTACAAGATATGTTCTTGTTGTAGAATTTTTAAATTTTCTCCTTTTCTTTGCTATATTGAATGCAGATGAAACATTTTGCCCAGAGGGACAAAAATATGAAACTTCTACAGAGACTTGTCCTTACCTCAGTGCATGTACAAAGGAGAGCTCTGTTTCAAATGAAGTGAAGAGACATCAGAGAGTGCAACCAGGGAAGAAATGCTGCGAGGAGTTTGATGAGCGCTGTGGGCAGAGCTCCATTGCAGAGGGCCAGCAGGGACATGTGCCCACAGGCTCCAAAGAGAGGTTTATGGATGGAAGGGTGCTTCAATGCAATGACACAGAAGAGAAACCGCTCTCTTGCTCAGTGTGCGACCAGGGCACCAGTGATAAAAGGAACAGGAAATCCCATCTGAGAATGCACACAAGGGAGGAGAGCAAGACCCAAGAACAGAGCTCATCTTTACACACAGAGAAGCCACGCCACTCCAAAAGATCCACTCCATGCCTAACAGTAGGTATCTATTATGAATATATTCTTCTTCAGACATCTATCAACTTTGTAAAGTTAAAATAGATGCCATGAATTAACTTAATGTCACATTCATTTAAATCCTGCCTCATGTATTGCTAGAACCTTTTTCTCTTAAAAACATTTATCTTTTCCTTTAGGCTAACCAAATTTGTCTGTAAAGAATTTTCAAAACAGCAGCAGATTACCGAAGTGCTGAAAAGATAACACACAATATTTCAGACACATTGTGACAAAAATAAAATAAAAAATCACACAGAGAACCCGTAAAAGAATATATAAAACATTTCAAACTTTTTGAATCTCACAGCTCTGTCATCTGCATTTAGGATTCAGATGAACGTAACCGCCTGACCTCACATGGACTGAACCAGACCCTCCATTTGACTGTCAGACTGCAAGCAGGGGAAAAGGAGGACCAGGAGGAACGTGATGAAGAAATTGGAGGTTTAATCAACTCGGATGGAGAAGTGGTCGAATGGGAGGCCAGTAAGTTATTTTTTGGAGCGTGTTTACTGAATACCTGTTACTCCTAAGCTTCTTATCTGTTTGGATAAATACACATCTCTGCTTCTATTAGTTTCAGATTAAATCATCAAGACAATTAAATCGATTTGGGGATATTTGAAAGTTACATTTGTCTCCCTCGTATGTTTCAGTATTCACACCTAAAACTGGCTTCATTCAGAGAGTGTACCTGGGGCTAGTTTGCAGGCACAGTTTGGCAGGAAACATTCATGGTCAACAAGGACTTATACACGCTTTGTATTTATCCACTTAAAACTGCCCTGGTCAGTTTTAAATTCGGAGGGAATACCAGTGTCTCTCATTTAAGCTCATTCACGCAAATCTCTGCTCTTCTCATTGTGGTGATGTGCTATGGAGGACTTATTCTCCATCATATGTGGCATATTCTTTCTGCAGCTGACCCGTAAAAGGTCTATTCCAGACCAAAATTTAATAGATTTTAAAAAATGAGTTAATTTTATTCTTAATCTATCTTTTTTTACAGGAGAATATTCTGACCAAGGCTCTGATTGCACAGAAGGTCCTCAGTCAGGAAAGGTATTTTCTTTCTCTCTTTTCAGGAAGACGTTTAGAAAAATGTAACCTTTGTTCTCATTGCTACCTTAAAGAGATCCTTTTGACAATTGATTTTCATAAGACAATTTTCAATTTTGACAATAAAGGCAGTGCTTTGATCTGTTTTGATCTATTTGCAGTAATGCGCTGTTTTTCCAGTCTTCTTTAAACGCATGCCAGGGTGTAACTTTTTTGTCAGTCTGCTACACTTCTCAGAATCATTATCAAATGCTTTTCCTCTATTTTCCACTTTCAAAGTTCAACATCAACCATCGCAGAGAACCATAGTTAATTAGTCATAGAGGATGTCCTCAGTCAGAGCACATTAAGCAGTCTTAATTTACTGTCACTTCACAGTGACCTGTTTCTGCTTTTCATTCCTATGAGAACTAATGCATCTGTTTGCACAATTGGAAGGATTGGATACTGTTGATTATGATCACAGGGTGTCATTCTGTCTGAGCTGCAAGGACGAAGCCAGAAGGACAGTAGCAGTCCCACACTCATCATGGAAGCTGAATCTGTGGCTGAAGATGAGGAGAGAAACGAAGAAAAACAAAAAGAGAGAGAGGGAAAGATGACAGCAGTCGCACCTTTACATTGTGGTAAATAAAAGTGCAAAAAACATGAAAGCGTGTTAAAGCTCATGTGGTTTCTTTTTGAGGACATTGTTAGTTTCATCCATCCATCCATCCATTATCAATGCCGCTTATTCCCTCATGGGGTCGCGGGGGGAACTGGAGCCTATCCCAGTGGTCAACGGGCGAGAGGCAGGGTACACCCTGGACAGTCCGCCAGTCCATCGCAGGGCCACACACAGGACATACAACCACTCACACTCACATTCACTCCTAAGGGCAATTTCCCCAATCTCCAATCAGCCTAACATGCAGGTTTTTGGACTGTGGGAGGAAGCCGGAGAACCCGGAGAGAACCCACGCAGACACAGGGAGAACATGCAAACTCCACCCAGAAGGGCCCTGGTTCCCCCGGGATTCGAACCCAGAACCCTCTTGCTGGGAGGCGACAGTGCTAACCACCACACCACCGTGCCGCCCTGTTAGTTTCATGTTTACAGGAAATAGATTAAGAAGAAAGAAAGAGGTTCCAGTGGAGTCTTCGGTGGTCTATGACACAGATACAGGCCTTCCTGCAAACACTGGTGTGTGATTGGTAGCACAAAGGTGTTGTGAGTGGAGGATTAGAATAACTCTGAGTTGATTTATTTTGAATTATTTAAGTCCTTATGTTTTTCCTTTCTTCGCTGCTTTTATACCCAAGCCAAGAGACGAGGCAAAACAAAAATCTACCAAGCCCCACTCTCATCCGGTGAGGACACAGAGACTGATCCAGGGGGTGAGGTTTCATTTTGGCATTTAATATCCAATTTAATCATCTAAAAACACAGTTTTAGTCATTGTTATTTATTTTTTACCTTAAAGCATCAAGGCGTAGCCAAAGAAAGAGAAATATCCGCACGATGGCTGCACAAGATGAATTGAATTCAAAAAGTCTCCACCGTGTTCCTGGTAAGACAAAAATCACTGTTTTTTTGGTTTGTGTTTCGCTCTTTCATCCAGCAAGAATTTAAAAAATGTGGTTTGTCATAAATGTGATTGTCCTGTTTGCACCATGCAATGGGAAGTTATTCAGAGAAATATGTGCCAACAAAAGCAACATCTTTAAACAGCTTCCTCTATAATGTGGTAAACAATATAAGATATTACCATGGACAAAAACTACCTCACAGACGTAAGCTTTAGACACAGATCAGCACAGCTGGAAAAATGTTCCTTCTTTAAAGATGCTCTTATCCAGTTTTCGATGGTCCACACATCATCATGTTGCTGTTATAACAGTTCATCAGTTTCATATTTTAAACTAAAGCTTTGTCTGTTTTTGTATTTATTTTTAATGCAGCCAAGCGACACAATCGAAGGAAGACAGATACCAAACTATCTGCTGATGGAGAAGAAGCAAACGCTGGTGTTTCATCTGGTAGGAACACATAAAATGTGTTTACAGCTAGTTCACTGAAGAAATGAGAAGCTTCTGGAATAATTTCCTTGGAGTCCAGTTTCAGTTTCAGCTAAGTGTCAGATGCCAACCCGAAAGATTGTGCAGGTATTTCTGAAATGAACATCCAAAACTCGGTGACCTGTACCGATTTGAAGTTGAAAACAAAACATATTTTAAAAAACTTGATTAATCATAAAAATTCTGGTACAGATTGTTTGATTGATAAATTGATACAATTCAAAATACAAATACTCTGACTGAAAAAAGCTACTTGTTTGTAAAAAAAAAAAAAGAGTGAAAAATAGATACACGAAAAAATTGGACAATGCAAAACTGTTTTCAGGACATTTTTTCATTAAAATTATATTGGTTAAAGAGACCAGTAGAAAGAGAGTATTTTTACAGATACAGCACTTCAAACTTCTGCCAAGATTAGTATGCTTTACATTAAGTTTACTTATATTTCTATTGTTTGTGGCTAAAATGGTAAACATGTGACTGATGCCTTGGCAGTGACTATACTGTACTTGTTTGCCAAACTCAAACAGGTTAATAATCCTCCGAGTCTTTGGTCTAACCTTCGTCTTATGATTGATTTTAACCTCCTTCCCCATGTATAGGTAAGAAGAGACCTGGCAGAAAGATGGTGCGTGTACCAATAGAAATACCTCCAGCGCTGCTGAAGAAGCCCAAAGAGAAGGTTGAGTACCACTGTTCAGTTTGTGGCAAAGAATTCCCACACGCCTACAAACTGGAACGACACGAGCTGATCCACACAGGAGAGAAACCCTACTGCTGCTCCATCTGTGGTCGTGGTTTTAACCAGAAGGGAAATCTGAAAACACACTACAAAGTCCACTTGGGTGAGAGTTGTCAACAGTGCTTTCTACAGAACTGTTAATCAGGATTTCTGTACCGTATGTTCGGCACACATTTAAATAAACGTAGCTGTATTTTTCATGATCTTGACCTTGATGTTTTATTTGCACTGTATTGTAATTAAATGTCTAGTCAATACTTCTGTGCCATAGTAATGATTTAAAAGACATTACCTTCCCGTAGAAACTGCTTTATTTAAAACAATAAAAAGAGTCACATATAGCTTTTCTATTTTTTTTCCATTTTTGTTCAGGTAGAAAGGGTGCTGTGGATTTTGATGATGACGAAAACCCCTCTGCATCCGAACTCTCTGAATATTTGAAGTCTTTGCCGGGCGAGTCCAAGATCCGATCATCTGTTCGTTGCCTGGAATGTGGAAAAGACTGCGAGACCCAGTCAGCATTACAAGAACACCACACTGCTGCGCACAGCGAGGCGGCGGCTAAACCGGACACAGCTGAGCACAGCGCGTCACAGTTTCTCTTCTGCCGCCGCTGCGGCGTCCAGTTCAGCGAAAGAGGAAAGCTGGATGAGCACATGAAAACCCACGTGAAGGAGAAACCCTACTCGTGCCCTGACTGCGGCAAGAGGTTCATCAACGAGAGCTACATCCAAGTTCACCAGCGGATCCACACCGGGGAGAAACCGTTCCTGTGCTCCCAGTGTGGCCGAGGTTTCCACACAGCTTCCTCGCTCAAACTGCACGAGATGCAGCACTCCGGGGAGAGGCCGTTTGCATGTTCCATTTGTGGGAAAACATTTCGGATTAACTCATACCTAACGGCTCATTATCAGACCCACATCAAAGATAGGCCTTTCATTTGTAGCGTGTGTGGGAAAGGCTACTCCAGGTCAGAAGAGCTGAAGGTCCACTACAGGCTACACACGGGAGAGAGACCCTATGAATGTGGAGAATGTGGGAAAAGCTTCATTTACCGCCAGGGGCTGCGCCAGCATCAGCGCACACACGCTGGACGACGCATCGGGCCGACCAGACGACTCGGGAGACCCAAACAGCAGGCCAGGCTGGACATCTGACAGCTGGGCCAAGCTGCCACAAGCC